CTGTCTGAATCTGCTTATTTCATTTAATATTACCAGTTCCACCCACTTTCTTGCAAATGTCATGATTTCATTATTTTTTTCAGCCAATTAAAATTTCACTGTATGTATATCTCATTTTCTTTGTTCATCTGCTGACATCTAGGCTGGGTCCATTTCTGCTATCATGAAATATGCAGTAATGAATACAGAAGTACAAGTATGTCTGTGGTACTCATTTAAAGTCCTTCCAGTATATACCCTATTCATAGTTCCTTTAGTAACTTCTACTCTAATTCTCACAGTGAGCAAATATTCAAAGGTTTAAAATTTCAAATGATTAATTTCTTCATAAATAACTTATCTATCGGGGATTAATAGTTGGAATTTTATTATGGCATTATAATAGAGACAAAAGCTATTGGAGAAAGGGAATAGGAGAAAACAAATCAAAACATGAGCAAAAAGTTTCAGGTAGAAAAGAACATAGACAATTCAGGGAATAATTATAGGTTACAGTTATGAAGTCTAAGAAATGAATTTTTTAGAGTTTGTTAATCTCTTTGACACATACACAAAGGACTCTACATTCTACTACAGAAACATTTGTCCACCCATATTCATTGCTGCTCTATTTATGGTAACCAGAAATTTCAAAAGCCTAGATGTGCATTAACAGATGAATGGATCAAGAAAATGTAGTACACTAACACAATGGAATATTACTCATGTATTAAAAGAAACAAAATCATAAAAGTTGAAAGCAAATGGATGGAGCTAGAAAACACAAACCATCCTGAGTGAGAAATTCCAGATTTAAAGAGACAAATATGGTGTGTATTCTATTATATACAAATGCCAGCTTTTAAGCCTTTTATAGGCTTGCTACCATACATATAATCAGAGGTTAGGTACAGAACAAGGGAAGGAGGAAGGGAATTCCCAATGGAGGGGAGGATTAAATGGAGAGAAAAGGAAAGAAAGAACAGAGTAAGGGAGAGAATGGGGAATGGCAGCTAATACAAATGGTCATTTGAGAAATCATATGGAAATTTCCTACAGTAAAAACTGGTTAAAATATATACTCATTTGAAGTAAATATAAATGGAATCACCAAATAACAGGGGATAAAAAAAAATCCCAACTAGCCACCTCACCATCAAGTGAGTCCTCCAGTGCCAGAAATGGGTTACATCTAATTGAATCGTTGGTCAAAGAAGCACTATGAGCATCCCCAGTCAACTCAGGCAATGGCTTTTCACAAACTGAAAGTAAGGCCCTGTTGCTGCAGAGAGCACATACACAGCACAGTAAACACAGAGAAGTGGTATTAGTACTTAACTAGGGCCTTCACCCCTAAGGACTAGTGTTCATGGTGCTAAAAGGTACTGTGCATGGTACCAGGAGAGAAAGGTAAACACCACCCAGCTACAAACCCACACCTACGAACACCTGTTTTTTTTTTTTTTTTTTTTTTTTTTTTGGTTTTATGAGATAGGGTTTCTCTGTATTGTTTTGGAGGCTGTCAGACCAGCCTGGCCTCGAACTCACAGAGATCCACCTGCCTCTGCCTCCCGAGTGCTGGGATTAAAGGCGTGCGCCACCACTGCCCAGCTCGAACACCTGATTTTTGACAAAGAAGCTAATGCTATACAATGGGAAAAAAAGAAAGTATCTTCAACAAATGGTGCTGGCGTAACTGGATGTAGACATGTAAAAGATTGCAGATAAATCCATTAAAACAAATTTTAAGTCTAAAAGGATTAAAGACCTCAAAAGAAATCCAACCACGCTGAACCTGTTAGAAGAGAAAGAAAGTAGGAGGTACCCTTGAATGATTTTGGTACAGGAGAACGCTTCCTGAACAAAACACCAGTAGCACAGACAGACACTGAGAATGACAATTAATAAATGGGACCTCCTGAAACTGAGAAGCTTCTGTAAGGCAAAGGACACAGTCTAGCAAAACAAAACAGCAGCCCACAGAATGGGAAAAGGACTTCACCAACTCCACGTCTGACAGAGGGTGATCTCCAAAATATACAATGAACTCAAGAAGCTAGCCACCAAAACACCAAACAATCCAATTAAAAAGTGGGGTGCAGAACTAAATAGAGAAATTTCAATAGAGGAGTAAAAAATGACTGAAAGACACTTAAGAAAGTGTTCAACATCCTTAGCCATCAGGGACATGCAATTCAAAACAACTGTGAGATACCATCTTACATTGGCCAGAATGGCTAAATTCAAAAGGACAAATGACAGTGTATGCTACAGAGGATGTGGAGAAAGAGGAACCACCCCTCCATTGCTGGTGGGAGTGCAAACTTGTAAGACCACTTTGGAAATCACTATGGCAGTTTCTCAGGAAAATGGGAATCAGTCTACCTCAAGATTCAGCAATTCCTCTCCTGGGCATATATCCAAAGAATGCACATTCATACAACAAGGATATATGTTCAACTATGTTTATAGCAGTGTTGTTTGTAATAGCCAGAACCTGGAAGCAACCTAGATGCCCCTCAGCTGAAGAGTGGATAGAGAAAATGTGGTATATTTACACAGTAGAGTACCACTAAGCAGAAAAAAAAAAACAATGGAATCTTGAAATTTGCAGGCAAATAGATGGAAGTAGAAGAAACCATCCTGAGTGAGGTAACCCTGTCACAAAAAGACAAGCATGGTATGTACTCACTCATATGTGGTTTTTAGACATACAGCATAGGGTTACCAGCCTACAAATCCATACCGCCAGAGGAGCTAGGAAGGACTCCAAGAGAAAAACCCATGATCCCCTGAAGAAGGGGAGGGGACAAGAACCCCTGAGCATATTGGGAACATGGGGGTGGGGGGTAGAAGGGAGGGGTAGAGGAAGGAGATGGAAAGGGAAGAGGAGGAGAAGGGGGTAGGAGAACAGGAGGACTAAGACAGAGGAGGAATAGAGGAGGGCAAGAAAGGAGATGTCTTGATAAAGGGAGCTAGTACAGGTTTGGAGAGAGGCCTAGCACAGAGGAAATGGTAGGGCATCCACAGGGATGACCCCAACTAAGAATCTAGGCAGTGGTGGAGAGGCTGCCTTTGATGCCCTTCTCCTATAATGAGATTATAGAGCCATGACCCAGTAGCTGATCATAGCAGAGACAGGCACGCACAGCTGAGCACTGGAATCCAGTTGTGGAGAGTGAGGAGATGAGCAAATGAACCAAAACAGAACTGGAGATAATCGCAGAAACAGTTTCCAGACCTAAGGAGAGGCACGCAGGCCCTAGTGTAATGCAGGGGAACCAGCATTGGACTGAACCAGGCTCTCTGAATATGGGTGCCAGCTAGGAGGTCAAGGCAGTCTATGGAACCTCTAAGAGTGGAGCCAGTGTTTATTCCTAGGTCACAAATGGAGCCCATTCCCTAAGGAGGGATGCTATTGCAGTATAGATAGGGAAAGGAGGGCCTGGGTCCTCCCCCAAATGATGTGATAGACTTTGATGATGCCCCCTGGAGGGTCTCACTGTCCCTGGGGAGTGGGTGGGCTGCGGGTGTTGGTGGGAAGCATGGGAGGGCAAGGGAATGGGGGGATGAATATGTAAATAAGAGTGTTTCTAAAATTAAAAAAGAAGTTGAAAATATATACAGACAAAAAATGATAAGTGTGTGGATCCATTGCACAGAATTTAAAGAGTCTTAAACAGGAATAAAACTGTTTTTGCACTGACAGACACTGGGTACTTTTTAGAATTATGAAATGGTGAAACTGTTTACCACAAAAATCCTAGCATGAGCTAGGATTAGGCACTCCATTTTTATAATTGTTTTCATAATAACCCTGCAAGACAGGTACCATACCTACCTCTCATTGATGATGGATTTATGATACAAATAATCTCCAAACCTAAAGACTTTCAAAAAACTAACTAAAACTGTAATAAACTCTAATTGACATACTAGTGAATCGTTTGTATATTGCAGTTGAGAATATAAAACGGTTTATCTAATATGGAAATTAGTTGGAGGTTTTTAAAGAATTAAAGGATTGCCAAATGGATATACTTTTCAAACATCACATGAAAGATATAAAAACCCACATATTAAGCGGGGTGGTGGTGGTGCACACCTTCAATCCCAGAACTTGGGAGGCAGAGGCAGGCAGATCTCTTTGAGTTCCAGGCCAGCCTGGTCTAAAAAGCTAAATGAGAAAACCTGTTTCGAAAAATTAAAAAAAAAAAAGAAACAAAACCAAAAACCCACATATTACAAAAGTTTCTCTTTTTACGAAATGGCAGAGACAGAAGGCAGATTGGTAGTTGTCAAAAACAAAGAAAATGAGAAGAAACGATTAAAAGAAAAGGGATTGTCTTAAGGAGGCTGATATCAAGCTTTTCCTCTCTGCTCCTCCAAGTTTGTGTGCTTATTGATAGTCCACACCACCCAGTTATCTACTTTCCCTCTGAGGCAATAAAGCATCCTCAAAATTAACACTGGGCATTTTTCAAAGAAATATAAAGCGTTACATCATTCTATTCATAGTTGTAGCATGAAAAACAGCAGTATGATGAAAAAGTAATCACTGAATTAGTGATCATGAAAAGTAGCATAAATTTTTCATAAAGCAGTTTAGCACAATGTATGAAAACCTATCCTATATATTAATACTCTATAATCTCAAAAAATTATTTCTATAGTAATTTACAGTAACAATAGTTAATGCAAGAGATCCTTTAGTCAATGTGCACATATGTATTTTCTCAAAAACATAAGATCTGTCATTTGGTGGTCTGGAATTACCATTGAATCCTCAATTTGTCAGACTGGAAGAGATAAGTTCTTTATAAACCCTTAAAAGATAAGTAATACACACACACACACACACACACACACACACACACACACACACGCACGCACACACCTGCACACAAACACAAAGATTTAAAGTTAACTATATAGAAAATTATGATGAAGAACACAGCATGGATTTTTAGACATTGTAAGAAATAAATGTTATTTCATAAAAGTTAATTTTCAACACTTACCAGCAGCTTCAAGAACCAATTGTAGTCTGGCTTTGGCCTGCTCAGCTGGTGGCTAAAAATCAACCATAAAAGACATTTCCAGGTCAGTTTTAACAGAGGGATCTTTAAATTAGAGCACCACAAGGCATAAAAAAGGTCGAAAGCCTTATCACAATCACTATTACTATCATCTAAATTCTATCATAGTAATACTCCACAACCAATTCACTCACCTATAATATCAAATCACCTTTCAGTTAATATAATCTAAGAATAATGAGGCTGTTTGGTTGTTACCTAATTCTGTACCAATAAGCAATAACACAAATAACTGTAAGCCCAATAATGAGGCAAAGGCCAAGTATTTAAGAACAGATTCTCAAATTGCATTACTTCCTTGCATACAGAAACATTCAAATGACCTATCTTTATTTAAACAAATAACAGAAGTTTTCTAACTATATTTGAAATAAGCAATTGTGTGGAACAGAAGATATAAAATACCACACATATTTTCAGTTCCTGTTAGCTTCCCTAAAACTGCCAAACAAGAGAACATATTCTATCGATAATGTTGAATCTAATTTCCTAACGGTGATTTCATTTCTAAGATTTGGTGATGATATACTTATGGAATTCAAACACAGAACATAACCTGGTTTTATTACTATAACAGACTAGTTAAAAAGTAATTTTAGAACTTAGGACTTCACTTTGACATACACTTATAAACATGTCTCAAAAAACCAGATAAACAATGTAAATAATACAAAATTTCCTTTATGAACAAAAATGCAAAAATACACAATAAAATACTTGCAAACCAAATCTAAGATCACATTACAAACACCATCTACCATGATCAACTAGGCTTCACCCAGATATGTGGGGATGGTTCAATATACAAAAATCAATAACTGCATCATATAAACAAACTGGAAGACAAAAACCACAGATCACCTCCTAAGAGGTAACAAGGGCCTTTAATAAAATCCAACACCCCTTCATGATAATAGTCCCGGATACATTAGGGATAAAAAGGATACTCAACATAACAAATGCAGTTTGCAGTAAGCCCATAGCCAATATCAACTTAAATGTAGAAAAACTGAAAACAATTTAACCATAATCAGGAATAGGACAAGGTTGTCCAGAGTCTCCATCTCCATACATATACTATATAGTACTTAGCTAGAGCAGTAAAACAACTGAAGGAGATCAAATTGAAAAAAATAAAGAAGTCAAAGTATCATTATTTTTGGATGATATGACAGTAAATGTAAGTGACCCTAAAAATTCTATTGGGGAACTCATTGAATACAAAATTTACTCACAAAAAGAATCTATATATAAGTGCCAAATGGACTTAGAAAGAAATCAGGGGCATCAAAGTAGCCTCAAATAATACAAAATATCAGGGGGTAACTCTGCTAAGCAATTGAAAGACTTGTATAATAAAAACTTCAAGTCTTTTAAGAAAGAAATTGAAGAAGATATCAGAAGATGGCAAGATCTCCCAAGCTCATGGATTTGTGGGATTAGCATAGTAAAAATGACTACCCTATCAAAAGTAATCTACTGGTTCAATGCAACCCCCATCAAAATTCCAACAGAATTCTTAATAAACTTTGAAAGGAATATATTCAACTTCATATAGAAACACAAAAAAAGGGAGGACAGCTAAAGCAATCCTGAATAATAAATGATGAAGATCTCACCATTCCCAATTTCAAGCTGTACTTAGAGCAATAATAATAAAAACTGCATGGTATTGACATAAAACAGACACTTTGATCAATGGATTCAAATTGAAAACTCAGATATAAATTCACACATCTTGGTTCCCCTGATTTTTGATGAAGACAGAAGAAATACACACTGGATAAAAGGCAGCATCTTTAACTAATGCTGCTAAACAAAATGTTTGCATTTAGAAGAAAGGAAATAGAACCTTATCTATGAAGGTGCACAAAGCATTAACTCCAGATGGATCAAAAACCACAACATAAAACCAGATACACTGAACTTGATAGACGAGAAAATGGTGAACAACCTTGAATTCATGATAGTCAGAGAAGACTTTCTGAACAAAACACTAATAGAGCAGGCACAACAATTAATAAACAGGACAATATGAAACTGAAAAGCTTCTGTAAGGCAAAGGACACCATCAATAGGAAAAAAAAGAAGCCTACAAAATGAGAAAGATTTTTACCAACTCCATATCCAATAGAGGGATAATATAAAACCTATATAAAAAAACTCAAGAAACTAGATATCAACAACACAAATAATCCAATTACAATATGAGGTATAAATCTAAACAGAGAATTCTCAATAGAGGAATCTCAAATGGCTAAGAAGCACTTAAAGAAATGTTCATCATCCTTAGCCATCAGGGAAATGCAAATCAAAATGACTTTGAGATTCCATTTTATATCTGTCAGAACGGTTAATATCAATAGCACAAGTAACATCTCATGCTGGAAAAGATGTGGAACAAGGGGAACACATCTGTTGGTGAAGTACAATCTTGTACAATCATTTAAATCAATATGGTGGCTCTTCAGAAAACTGGTAATCAATCTATCTCAAGACCAAGCTATAAGACTCTTGGCCATATACCTGAAAGACACTCCATACTACCACAAAGACCTTTGCTTTATTCTTAATAGCTAGAACCTAGAAACAATATACATGTACCTCAACTACAGAATGGATAAAGCATATGTGGCACATTTCCACAATGGATAATTACTCAGCTGTTAAAAAACGACATTATGGCTAGGCATTGTTGGCGTGTGCCTTTAATCCCATCACTCGGGAGGCAGAGGCAGGTGGATCTCTGTGAGTTCGAGGCCAGCCTGGTCTACATAGCATTTGCCAAGACAGGCTCCAAAGCTACAAGGAGAAACCCTGTCTTGAACGCCCCCCCACCAAAAAAGAAAAAGAAAGACATTATGGAATTTGCAGGTAAATGGATGGAACTAGAAAAAAAAAAACCCATTCCGAGTGAGGTAACACAGACCCAGTCTAATAAATATGGTATGTTTCACTTATACATGGATATTAGCCATGAAATAAATGATAAGCAACCTATAATCCATAGGCCCAGACAGCTTAGGCATAGAGTAAGGGACTAGGTAGCATACATGGATTTCCCTAGGAGAGGGAAATAGAATAGATTTTAAGGTAGGCAGGTGGGACAGAAGTGAGATGATTAGGTGCTATGGTGGCACAGAACTTGCAGGAGTAGCTAACCAATGACTGATTTGACTTAAAACATGTTCCACAAGAAGAAACTCATATGCAACAGTGCTTGGGTGACCAAGAGCCAGAGACTAGATAACCCAGAGAGTGAGAACAAAGCCAAACACTACTGGTCTAAAATAATCAATAAAATGACTCCTAATGATATTCTGCTATACTCATAGATCATTGCCTATTCCAATCATAATCAACGAGGTTTCCTCTGGCAACAGATGTGAACACTAGAGACCCACAGCCCAGCATTAGGTTGAGAGAGAGTCCTTGGAACACACAGCTCTAAATTAGATATCTCCATCAAATCACTCCCCCTAGAACTTAGGGAAGACCATGGAAGAGGAGGTGGAAATGTAAGAGCCAGAGAGGATGGAGGACACCAGGAGAACAAAGCTCTGTGATTCAACTAAGCAAGGCTCATATGAATAACAGAGACTGAAGCAGCAAGCACAGGGCCTACACAGGTCTGCATCAGGTCTTCTTTGCATATATTATTAGCTTTCTTTTTTATTAAAAATTTTATTTTTAAATTGAAATTCAAATTAGAAACAAGGTTTCTTCACATGTCAATCTCACGTCCCTCTCCCTTTCCCTCCCCTCCTCCCACCCCCTCCCACCACTCACCCATATATGAGAGAGTACATGCCATGTTTCTCTTTTTGTGACTGCATTACCTCACTCAGAATGGTTTCTTCTAGTGTCATCCATTTGCCTGCAAATCTCAGGATTCCATTGTTTTTTTTCTGCTGAATAGTACTCCATTGTGTAAATGTACCACATTTTCTCTATCCACTCTTCAGTTGAGGGGCATCTAGGTTGCTTCCAAGTTCTGGCTATTACAAATAATGCTGCTATGAACACTGTGGAACAGACATCCTTGTTGTATGAATGGGCATCTTTTGTTTTTGAGATAGTCTCTTACTAGACCTACATGGCCAGGAAGTCCACAACATCCTCCTATCTCTGTCCTCATTCCCCAACTTGGGGTTGTACGACTGTGGCATCAAGCTTTGGCTTTTACATTGGTGTTAAGGATTTGAACTTGTTTCCTCATATTCACATAAGCAAGCACTTTACTCACTGAGGTCTCTTTAGCCTCAGATTTCTTAAAAGTCGTATTCCTTGAGTCAGCAATGCTTTCTAGTTGCCTGAGTGACAGTATCAAGGAAACATAGAAATTTTTTTTATTCTTTTCAAACAAGATAAAGCAATCTTAATTTTTAAAAATAAAGCCATTTTAGATTACTTCCAAAATCTTCTCATATAAGTTTTTACCAACTATAAACTTATAGCATATAATATCACAGATCAGATGCATAAAAGACACCATAAACATGGTATTCAGATACAGTTATTTGGCCAATTATTTCGTATTATACACAAACATTTCCTTCAAATGGCAGGGAGTTACTTATCCTTCCCTGTTTTGAACAAGGAAAGTCTCTGAGTCATGAGGGGAAAGGAGTTAAAGTAGATATACACAGTGTGCCACACTAGCAAATACAATTTACTATAAAATTAATTTAAAATCTAACCTTGCTAATAAAAGTAATTATGCAACAAAAATGGCTGAACAGGGAAAATGATGAGGCAGATTTTTTAATGGTTATGGTACAGGAGATTCTGATTAAAATTGATGGGTATAATTTTATAATTTATACCCTTGAGGGATTTGATCCATTCAATATTCCTTTCATCAGCCCAAATTATATAGGTGGTTTAAGTATGCCTGGGTAACCATGAAGAAACCTGCTTCAGGACTGAAGAGTACCCTAGAAGAGAGAGGAAATATCATCTCTCAGGGAAGAT